TCCGCGGGGCCGGCCGCCCTCGGCTGGCAGCGGGGACTGAGCCACCTCCCGGCGTCGCCGGACCCGCGCCACGCCCCGGGCCCGCTGCCCGCCCCGCCGTCGCCGCCTCTCTGCTGCCTTCGCCGGTCCCCCCCACCCCGCTCCTTCCCCCTCCCGCCGGGCTTGCGCGGAAAGGCTTCTCGGTGGAGTGTCCGTGGGGAACCCGCGCTGCTCCTCCCCCTCGGAAACTCGCCCCGAGGCTGCGGTGCGGGAAAGAACGCAGTGCCAGGCCCTTCGCTCGGGAACGAAGGGTTTCTCGGGGCCGTCACTCCGGCCAGGGAACGAGTCATGCAGGAGGAAGGGGAGCAAGGGCCACGCGTGGCGGCTGCTAGGGGCAGGTGCTGGTGYGTTCGGTCTGTGATGGATGGGCGCCCGATAGTGCAGGTGTCAAKGACTAATGATTCCTGACAGCACGGTGCTGGGAAATCTGATGGGGAAACACACTGACTAGTCAAACTAAAAGTTGCTCAGAAGACAGACATGGATTTGATGTGGTCTTCTTTGCTGAAAAAAAAAAAACCAAGAAAAAGGATTTGAAGAAGCCTAGATACATTTCCAACACTTTCAAAATTACTGAAACGTGAATAGCATGTTTCAGTTTGAGGGTTGTCCTCGTTATCCTTACTTGAGACAATTGCCTCTGCCCCTCTCCAAGCCTCTGAAACTYTTATGAGATGAGGAAATTTCTTTCCACCTGTCTTTTATAAATCGATTTTGCATCAGAATACCCATGCAGTCCTGACAGAGCTGCTGAAAACTCTCATTTAAGTCTTTAACATCAGCTTGCTAACTGAGGGCTTCAGGGGCTCATCTACACTTTCACCAGATCTCCTCATCTTTGGTGGATCCCCTCAGTAAGGTGTCACCTTCTGCAATCTACTTATGCTTTCATGCTTTCTCCCCAGGCATTTCCTCTATACATAACAAAACCAAGTGCTTCTTCTACCATGGTCTAGTGAAGCTGCCCAGCTCTGCTGTTAGCCCCATAATCTGTATGGCCATGCTGTGCCTCCACTCTGCCTAGGTTCACTCCAAAACCAAGAATGGAGGAGGAGACGGACATTGGTGCCGAGTCTGAAAGGACTGACTCAGAATCCCTYCTCAAGTCCATAGGACTGACCCTTGATGACCTTGACTCAAGTGCTTTGGGGGCCCCAAYACTGGTTTATGGGGCAAAAGCTCCTTTTCAACACAGACCAGCACCTTCAGTCCCTGACAAGGTATGTCACAGGTGTTGCTCTCCTCAGCCTCATTTCCTGGGTGAACCTTGGACCTGTGTTTCCAGTTCTGTTCCTGGCACCATCCCCTGCTGCTCCTCCTGCCTGAATTACCTGGGTGGACCTTGTACCTGGTTCATCACCTCACCTTGTGTGGGTGTGTCAGTGCGTCCTACCATTAGTGTCTGCCCTGCTCTCGTACTGCAGGACTCTMCCCAGGCTGGTGAGCCTGAGTTTTGGCTCTGGTCACCCCCAGCTCATCTTGTCACTGGACAGTGCAGCTCTGCTGGTCCCTGAGGTTGTGGCAGAATTSCTGCCCAGAAAACTGACAACAGCAGGATTCGAGGGAGAAGAAAGCCATCAGGCAAAGGCCAGGAACAGATGCATTCACATGGATAGGGGAGGAGTAAGCATGTTTTTCTTGGGGAGGAAGGTAGTGCTAGAAAGAGCTTATTTTTGTTTCCTTGTCTCTTGGCTGACCTAGCAGGAGAGGGATAGAGCTAGCAGTGCTCAGCCAACACTGAGTACTGAAAACAGCTCATGTGAATGGCTTTGTGGAAGTATCGCTGAAGCTGCTATACTGTCTCTTGCTCTTCTGTTATATTCCTGGGCAAGCAAATGGCAGTGACTGGTACCTCCCATCAGCTGGGCAAAGAGGGCAGTCTGGGCAAAGAAGCCACAGCCTCCAAGTTAAAGCCAATGCCATCTTTTCTTTCCGTAACAAAGCAAGTGTAGAGTGGGAAAGTAGGCTGGGAAGAAAATGGTGGTCTGGGTAGGGTCAGAGAAAAAGCCATGGAGGCTTCACTTGGATCTGGGGTTATTGCCAGGGATTTTCTAGATGCCATGTTACATATGACTGGGGTACCCAAAGGTAGGTTCCTTTGTCATTCCTATACGAAAGCTGTCACTTATGTAGGATAGTTTTACTTGCTGATCTAATGCAGAGCTGGAAAGTGAGCCTACAGAACTGGGAACATATCAAAACTGCTCAAAAGAGCAGTTGTACCAACAGRTCGATTTATTGAGAGAGCTCTCTACTGTTTGCTGATACACCTGCGAACTATGTTTAGGCAAGTGACACGGAGCTGTTTTACACATCCATAATGCAACGGTGTGTTA